TAAACTAGTTCAACCATTATGGAAAACAGTATGGCGATTCCTCAAGGATCTAGAACTAGAAGTACCATATGACCCAGCCATCCCATTACTGGGTATATACCCAAAGGATTATAAATCATGCTGCTATAAAGACACATGCACACGTATGTTTATTGCGGCACTATTCACAATAGCAAAGACTTGGAATCAACCCAAATGTCCATCAGTGACAGACTGGATTAAGAAAATGTGGCACATATACACCATGGAATACTATGCAGCCATAAAAAAGGATGAGTTTGTGTTCTTTGTAGGGACATGGATGCAGCTGGAAACCATCATTCTCAGCAAACTATCGCCAAGAACAGAAAACCAAACACCGCATGTTATCACTCATAGGTGGGAACTGAACAATGAGATCACTTGGACTCGGGAAGGGAACATCATACACCAGGGCCTATCATGGGGAGGGGGGAGGGGGAAGGGATTGCATTGGGAGTTATACCTGATGTAAATGACGAGTTGATGGGTGCAGCATGCCAACATGGCACAAGTATACATATATAACAAACCTACACGTTATCCACATGTACCCTAGAACTTAAAGTATAATAAAAAAAAAAAAATGAAAGAAATGAAGCACCATTCTAATTCCTGATTCTTCTTTTATTTCTGGGAACATTCTTCAACTTTAATTTCCAGCCTTTTTATTTTTTTCTGCTAACATATTTATAATTTTCAAGACATCTTTCTTTTCCAGTTATTCTTTGTTACAGCAACCTGCTGCAAGATGTATGTATGTTTTTTTTTCACTGAGGATATTATAGCCCTTTATTGCTTTGTTCTTTTTTTTTTTGTTGTTCTGTATTTTTTGCATGTTGTTCCACTGGAGACCAGAAGTGTTTTGTAATTCAGATTTTTTTGGATTTTCAGATATTTACATTATACTTGCCAGTTAAACATTCCTAATTTGAAAATCCAAAATTCAAAATGCTTCAATGAGCATTTCCTTTGAGCATTGTGTCACCACTCATAAAAGGTTGTGGATTTTGGAGCATTTTGGATCTTGAATTTTCATACTGGGGATACTTAACCTGTATCTAAATTTTTAGCATGATACTCTACCCTGGGCTGTTGCTAAGTCCAAAGATTTTCGGGTTAAACTTTTGGTTTCTTACAGTGGTTAGGGACGGGATCTAGGAGTAGAATTCCTTTTACAGACTTGTAAAACATTTCAAAGATTCCTCCTGTTTTTAGCCCTACTGTTCTGTTGGTTTCTGCCATGCCTAGGGCCACCATTTCCTTAGCCTTAGGGGGGATTCATGGCACAAGTGGACTTACTTCTGAGCTGCACCCCTCGACCAACCTGCTTTTCACCTCTGTAATCTCCCGCCAGTGATAAATTACCCATCATTTTTCCAGATTCCAGAATTGTGCTGACATCTCCTGTTGGCTATGTTCTTACTTACTTTTCTATTTATTCATGTGATCTTGTGCCCTTTAATTCTTTCCCATAATTTGTTGGGACTTCAGAAGGAAGTGGAGCTAAAGGTAGGTGTCTGCCTGCCCCACCTTCGCTGGAAGTCTGGAAGGCCTTCCTTCTAAGACACCCAGCATAGCACCTGGCACATGATGGGTGCTCAGCAAATGTCTGTGGGTCTTTTTACTAAACAGGCAGTTGATTTCACCAGAAGTAGTGACCACCTAAGTTTTGGTAATTTTTTTTCTCCTGAGGGATTAAAAACAGTGTCAAATGCAGGAGTGAGAGCAGTAGGTTATTAATAACCCCTAGGAAATACATACTATATCACAGGACAAAGACCTATCCTCACTAAGAGTTTGTTTTGTTTTGTTTTGAGACAGAGTCTTGCTGTCACCCAGGCCGGAGTGCAGTGGTGTAATCTCGGCTCACTGCAAGCTCCGCCTCCCGGGTTCA